TTGCAGAATCATTGACAGAAATTTTCCAGGCCTCTCTGAACACAGGATTTACTCCCATGGGGCTGGAGGATTACAAATATGACACTGTTGTTTATGAAGGGGGCAAAGGATAACCCAGGGAACTATGTACCTGTCAGCTTGATATCAATAGTGAGGGAACTGATGGAGGCTATACTATGGGATAAGGTAAATTTACACTTAGAGAAACATAAGTTAATGTTAGACAGTCTACATGACTTTGTCAAGGGCAGGTCATATTTGACAAATTTAATTGAGTTCTTTGACAAGGTGACACAGGCAGTGGATGAGGGTAGCACTGTGAATGTTGCATATCTGTCTTCTCAGAAAGTATTTGATGTGGTGCCACATGGCAGGTCGGTTAGCAAATTAGAAATGTTTGGTATTGATAGATTCTTGGCTAAACTTGGCTAAAAGGTAGGAAGCGGAGGGTAGGTATAGATGGACATTTTTCAGATTGGAGACGAGTTAAAATTGGTGTTCCCCACGGTGTTGGGACTCTTGCTTTTTCTGACTTACATAAGCGATTTGGAGAATGGTGTTGAGGGCAAAATCTCTAAATTTGCAGATAATACTAAACTGGGGAGAATATTGAGTGATGAGGATGATGCTGAGGGACTTCAGAGGGATGTTGACAAGTTGCCAAATAGGCAGACACCTGGCAGATGAATTTCAATGCAGAGAAATGTGGGGATAATGTATTTTGGTAGGAGAAACACAGAGAAATAATACTGGCTTCCATGGTACAACTTTGAGGGGAGTACAGAAGCAGAGAGACCTCAAGGTTCACATGCATGATTCTCTGAAGGTGGCCAGGTGAGTTGAAATTGTTGTGAAGAAGGCTTATAGGATCCTTGGGTTTACAAATAGGGGTGTAGAGTATAAAAGCAAGGAAGTAATGCTACACCTCTGTAAATCATTGGTCAGTCTATTTCGGGAGTATTGTGTGCAGTTCTGGTCATCTTATTTAAGGAGGGGTGTTACCAAGACCTGGAGAGAGTGCAAAGGAAATTTATTAGAATGATACCAGAATTGAGGGATTTTAGATGCAAGGAAAAATTACAGGAATTGGGCTCATTCTTTTTGGAGCAGAGAAGGTTAAGAGGTGAGGGTTTATGGAGGGGTTTAAAATTATGACCAATTTTGACAGGGTAAAGAAGGATATTCTGTTTCCACAAGTTGGTATGTCAGTAACTAGGGGTCACAACTTCAAGATTGTCAGCAAGAGAGCTAGAAATGAGATGAGGAGAAACTTCTTTACTCAGAGAGTTGTTAAGATTTGGAATGTGCTGCCTGGGAAAATGGTAGAGGTGGATTCCACTGGATGTTTCAAAAGAGAGCTGGATATGTGTTTGAAAATGATGAATTTACAGGGCTGTGGAAATAGGGCTAGAGAGTGGGACTAGCTGGGTAGCTCTTTCAGGAGCCAGTATAGACATGATGGGTCAAATAGCCTACTTCTGTACGGTAAAATTGTATAATTATATGTGTTTCCCAATTTCAAACCTGAGAGGCCTGGCTCTACATTTGAGACTCTGCTCCATTGTCTTAAACTTCTTGCTTAGTGGAACTATTGCAGTTTATCCAAATTAAAACAGTTCCTACAAGCTACCTTCCCTCTCATTTTTGCTGCTACTCAAAGTCCATCTGCAGCAGTGACTTCGTAAGTTGAAGTCAGTGGGTTCATCTGCTAAAAAATTTGCGGGGAGCCTCTGTGTGGAAGAGAACATTGCCTACAACCCTACATTATGGAAGGAAACTTACCTAAACGTCCAGTGGGGGCATTGATCACACACAATCTGCAAGCCCCCAAAACGATTGGTTTTAGACGACCCATCCTGATGAAGGAATCCATTTGGCCCATTGTGACCATGTCAGCCTTTTAAAAGAGTTATCCAGTTAGCTGCACTCCTGATCACTTTCTCATGTCCCTGCAAGTTTTTCAGCATATTCCTTTCTAATAGTTTCTATTGAATCTGTTTCCACCTTTTTACAGGGTGTGCATTTTAAATCAAAACAACATACTATGTTAAAATAAAAAAAAACTCTTCATCTCCATTCTGGTATTTTTGGCAATTATCTTAAGGCTGTACATGATGGAGCCAAAGCTGCAGGCCAAAATTGAGCTGATTGGCTGTTTCCCCTGGTCTGGACCAAACAATATGCCAATTCACCTCTGCCACTGAGAATAATAACCCAAACACTTTGGCAGCCTTCCCCATTTCAACGCTCTTGCATTTAACTCCCACAACAAGATTTGTCTTAACTTGTCAGGCAATCTTTCTCAATTGTAGCAATAACTTAAGGAGTGATTGTGGTCTGTTTTAGAAAAAAAAACCCACACACACTATTCTCTATTTTAAGCATTGCTTTGGATTAAGCTATGGTTTACCTGAAGCAAAAAGAAACAAAAAGAAGTCAACTGAAGCAATGAGTAATCCATCCATGTTTCAGATTGGATCCTGAGCCCTTTACAGTTAAGGTTTTAGGAAAATTAGAAACAGGTATAGGCCATTCAGCCCTTTGTACCATTTTATTAAATTATATTTTATCTGTACCTCAAATGCATTTACCGTTGCATTGCCAACACTCCAGGACTGGCCTGGAGTCTCAGGAATTGAGGATTAAACTGCAGGGCACTGCTTTGATTTGATTTGATTTATTATTGTCACATGTACTGAGAGACAGTGAAAAGTATTGTTTTGCTTGCTATCCAGGCAAATCATTACCTTACATCAGTACACTATGATAATAGTACAGAATGCAGATTATAGTGTTGCAGCTACAGAGAAGGTGTAGAGAAAGATCAACTTTAATGTATCAGAAGTCTATCCAAAAGTTGTGTCCGTGCTGATTGGTAGAGATTTGACTACATTTATTTCCATTTTCCTGCTCTTAGGCCTTTGCTCTGGGGCTATGGTAAAGCAAATTCATATCTAAATGCTGCTTAAATATTCAAAGTTTCTTATTCAAACACAGGCAGTGAGTTCCAGATTCTTGTCACCATCTGAGTGAAAACATTTCTCCTCAATTTCCCTCTTAGTGTTCTACCTGTTATCTTAAATCTATGCCCCCTTGTTAATACCCATATAATGAAGGAAAAGGTGCCTTCCTATTCACCCTAACTATGCTCATTATGACCTTATATACCTCTATCAGGTTCCTTTCAACCTTTGCTGCTCCAAGGAAAACAAGCCCAGCCTATCCAACCTTTCCTTATAGCTTAGACCCTCCAGCCCAGGCAGCATCCTAGTGAATCTCCTCTGCACGCTCTCTAGTGCAGTCACATCCTTCCAATTATGTGGTGACCAGAACTGCACACAGTATGCCAGTTGTGGCCCAAACAACAGGTTATACTGTTCCAACATAACCTCCCTGCTCTTGTATTTTGATCCTTAGCTAATAAAGACTAGTATGTCATATGCCTTCTTAGCCACCTTATCTACCTGCCCTGCTGCCATCTGGGATCTGTGGATATGCACATCAAGGTCCCTCTGATTTTCAGTAGTTTACAGCATCCTACCATTAGTAGTGTACTCCTTTGTCTTCTTGATCCTAGGTGTATTACCTCATACTTTTCTGGGTTGAATTCCTTGTTACCCTTCTCCAGTTTGCAACTATCCTCCTCACTATTTACCACTCGACCAATTTTCATGTCATCAATTAACTTCTTGGTCATATTCCCTACACTTAAGTGAAAATCATTAATGTACACCACAAGCAGCAAGGGCCCCAGCACCAGGCCTTGCGGAATCCCATTGGAAACAGACTTCCAGGCACAGATACATCCCATTACCGTCAACCTCTGCGTCCTGGCTCTTAGCCAATTTTGTATCTAGCATACCACTTTGCCTTGAATCCCATGGCCTCTTAACTTCTTGATCAGTCTGTGATGAGGGACCTTATCAAAAGCCCTGCTGAAATCCAAGTAGACCACATCAAATGCATGACCCTCATCAACACGCCTGGTTACCTCCTGAAAAAAATTGATCAAATTTGTAAAATATGACCTTCCTTTAACAAATCCATGCGGACTATCCCTGATTAATCTGTCACTCTCAAAAATTACCCACATTACCTCTGTGGTCCCTAAGGGGCCCTACTCTATCCATAGTTATTTTCTTGCTCTTTATATATTTATAAAGACCCTCTTGGCCTGACAGAAGAAGCCAATGTAGCCCAGATTGCCTTTGAACTGCTGCCCAGACCAAGGTGACTATGAGTAAAAATGCTGTTCTCCTCCCCTGCCTGGCCCCACCAACGTCTGTATCACAGGAGAAAAGCCTATTATATTTCACATGTCATCTAAGTTTTGGATCATGGCTGTAAATTAAGTGGCTATATTTGATCTGGCCCTTGAAGACTAAAGTTCAACAGCTGCCTACAGAGAGATAGTCTAAGTCGGACATGGGGTTAATTAGCACTGAATTAATGTAGGCATTTGTCTACTCTAGCAACAACTATACTAAACCACCTATTAACTCCAAATCAGAAAAAAAATATAAGCTTTCCCTATTGCATTGTGTGTGTTTTTATTTATATTATTTAAGATAGGTTAGTAATGTTTTGTTGGGTTTTATTCAAAGCATTAAAACCGGCATGAAGCTGTTATATACATGCCATTAACGTTGTAAGTTGCCAGACATTTTTCTGGTCAATATTTAACCTGGGATTTTAGCAGCGACTGCAAGAGTAGAACGTGTTTTATAATTTTGTAATGTTTTATATAATTTTATAATGTCTTCTGAAGAAGGGTCTAGACCCGAAACGTCCGCTTTCCTGCTCCTCTGATGCGGCTTGGCCCGCTGTGTTCATCCAGCTCTACACCTTATTGTCTCGTGTTTTATAATGTTGTGTTCTGCACTTGTGAGCAAAGCTGATTGTTTGCTCAGGAAGAGAAAGTGAATTTCCTTTCTGATTCTGGTATCAGTGCAAATGATGAAGCAAATTGGCTCACAAACACGTTGCTCTTGTCTTTGCAGGATTTACAATGAATCATGTGGCCTGGTCTCTGCGCAGGGAGGACCCAAAGTATGTTGCACCTTAGATGATATTCCATTGGTCAGGTAAGAGGCTGCTACTCACCAATGCCAGTGTTTTGTTGAATTGTACAGTACAGAAGGAAATCGTTCTGCCCATTGTGTGTGTGCTGACTCTTTGATTGAAGTATCCAATTAGACCGTCTCCACTGCTGTTTTTCCACTGCCATGCAAATTTCTTCTTCTGACATGCTCTCTCAGGGCCACGTTTTGTTTTGAAAGGTAACTGGCCTGTTTTGGATTATAATGTAATTTGACTGCACACACTGCCAGATGGCAACTCTCAATGATTCTAAGGGTGCAGAAAAGATTTACCAGGATGTTACCGAGTCTGAGGGTTTGAGTCATAAGAAGAGGCTGGAATAGGCTGGGACTTTTCAGTCCAAAACTAGAGGTTTAAGGTGAGAGGGGAATGATTTAAAAGGAAGTTGAGAGGCAGCTTTCTCATGCAGAGGGTGGTGTGTACATGGAACAAGCTGCCATAAAAGTTGTAGAGGCGAGTACAGTTACAATGTTTAAAAGACATTTGGACAGGTGCATGAACGGGAAAGATTTGGAGAGATACGGGTCAAACACAGGAAAATGGGACTATTTCAGTTTAGGAAACATGGCCTGTTTGGACGAGTTGGACCGAAGGGTCTGTTTCTGTGCTGCAAGACTCTATGACTGCATGTTCTTGGAACAGTTCCCATTAAAGATTTCACGACTTAAGGTCAATGTTATCCAGGTCTAACTGATCAGCATCTTGCAATAGCCTGATTGATTAATATGTAGCCAAGCACTCCATTTGTCTAGCTTTCATCTGCAATGTAACAAGACAATATCTGGTACTTGTCCAATCATTTTCAGTCATTTTCTTCTACTTGTGCTTTAGTGTGTCCCTTGTCGTTCCCTGGTAATTATTAATCAATACCCAGTACTTGTCCAGTAGATCTCTGTAATTATTCATCAATAACCAGTACTTGTCTGGTAGATCACTGTAATTATTGCCTAAATACTCAGTACTTATCCAGTAGATCACTGCAATTATTATTCAATCCCCAGTATTTGTCTAGTAGATCACTGTAATTATTGCATAAATAGCCAGTACTTGTCCAATAGATCACTGCTAATCAATACCACGTACTTGTCCAGTCTGTCACTGATAACTGTTTAATCAATAAATAGCACTCGTCCAGTAGATCACTGGTTTTTATTTTGTCAATACTCAGTACTTGTCCAGTAGATCACTAATTACCCAGTACTTGTTCGGTAGTTCATTGGCAAAGACCATTAGATGTAGGAGCAGAAGTAGGCCATTCAGCCCATCAAGTCTGCTCCACCATGCAATGAGATCAAGGCCGTTGTGATAATCCTCGACTTCACTTTCCTGCCTTTTCCCCATAACACTTTCGTTTTAAAACTTGGTTGATCTCAGCCTTGCTATCAATGCAGCACACTAATTGTGGGGTAAAAGCACTGTAATAAGTGCAGATTGTTTAGAAACGCACTCTTCCAGTTCCAGGGACTGAGCATAAACCAAGATAGCAGGGAGGAAAGGCCGCAATCTCAGACAGACTTTGGGCAGTCTCCAACCATGCTCCAAGTGCACACTGGATTTAATTTGACATTTGAGGCAGTAGGCATTTAGAAAGCTGCAGGCTAATCCGAATGATACTCTGGTGGGGTAGGGGACACTGAGGGTGCTGAAGCACATCAGGGTCAGGTATAGGTGGCCGGGTCAAACTGATTCTCTGCACACAGACCAACTCTATGTGCACGTGTATTTATTTGGAATGCCATGTTTAAATTTTGTGGGCCATTGTATATGAATAGGGATTTTGTTTTAAATAACAGCCTCATCTGACTGGAGACTAACTCTTGAAGCAGCTCACACGGATGTGTTAGTGTCAGTGATTCAAGATTTACACTAATTAATGGACACACATGGCTCCCAACATGACAGGGCACAGTCCTGAGGTTCATTATGGATTAAACAGCATCAGGCGCTCTCTCTATGCTGCCCCAGAGATCAATGCCAGCAAGGTATACATGTCATGGGGTTGGCAACAGTCTGTGCCAGCAACCTGCTTCAACTTTAACCTTGGAAAAGCATCTGCGCCACAGCCTGTGTAAGCAAACTGTCACTTTATACCAGCTTTAGATTTCTGCTGCACTCTCAAACCCGCTATTTTGTCAAAACCACAGCCTCAATTTTGGGTAGGAGTTGACAGTGATTAGAGGAAACATTTATTATCGATTATCCAATATTCCGTCTCCCTGTTGGTTTGATCCAGTAAATGGAACACAGTATGCCCCTTTATCAGTATTACATTTGATTAATATATTTGCATAAATGTAGGAGACACCATCATTCCATGCAAGGATATTGCATATACAGTACCTTTTATTACAGGGTTTTAGTAACTTGTAATCTGTTATACAGAACACAGTGCAGGGTACCGTTTACAGGTACTGTATACATGATCCCAGACTACTGTACAGCATGTCCTATTATAGCACTACATGTACATATTTTACAGGCAATATGCAATCTTTTGTAAATTTTTCAGGAAAACTGATCTAGGACTGGGAATGCTGCACCACTATTGAGAACCTGAAACACGAAATTAGAGCAGGTGCCAAATTGGTCAGTCAAGAACTTGACCAAGTTAATGATTCAGGCATGAGCCTGTAAACTGTACAGTACTATTCTGTATTGACAGAAGCTGACTGACTGGGACAGTTCTCTCCAGATTAAAAACATCCGTAGATTTCTTTATGCACTCGTTGCAGACTTGCGACATACTGAGCATATAAAACAGAGTAGGTCAAATAGTGGTCTCATAGAGGGGGCTTGTTTTGAGAGAACTGTTGGGTAGGAGGGTCCACACCTACCCTGCTGATAACGACACAGGATGTCAAATTAATATTGCCTTAGCCATTTTAGAAATGGGTTTAGCACCTACTTTTAGAAACCTTGCTGTGGACCAATCAGATAAAGACCTGCACTCAAAGAATGCTGGGCCCAGTTAAGAGAAGTGTGCGCTTAGTTGGGGTACCCACATGGCAACTCTGCCACTAAGCCTCACAAGCACCTTAATACCGTGTTCACGGAGGACAACTTGCAGTCACATAGCACCTTTTAAAGGCAGCATAATGACCCAAGGCACTGTGTACAAAGGGATATGGGGCATAGACAAGAAGGAACTTTCCCTTTTAGCAGAGGGATTAACAACCGGTGGCATAGATTTAAAGTAAAGAATAGATGGTTTAGAGAGGATTTAAAGAAAAATATTTTCACCCAGAGGTTGGTGGGTATCTGGAACTGACTGTCTGAAAATGTGGTACAGGTGGGAACAGTTAATGCTGTGCCCTTGTTCAGTAGATCACTGATAATTGGTAGGCAATGTTCAGTTCTGAGGAAGGGTCACCGGACCCAAAACGTTAACTCTGCTTTCTCCTTCACAGATGCTGCCAGACCTGCTGAGCTTTTCCAGCAACTTTGTTTTTGTCCAGTCCTTGTTCAGTAGTTTATTGGTAATTGTTTAGGGAATGCCCAGCCATTCCTCAATAGATCACTGATAATTATTTTGTCAATGTCCAGTTGTTCAGTGGATTACTGATAATAATTTCGTCAATGGCAAGATTTTTTCCCATGCGTTCACTGGTAAATATTTCGTCAATGTACAGTACTTGACCGGTACATCTCTATGAAGTTTAGTCAGTACTTGATACTTGGGTTCTGGATGCCTTGCTGAAATCACATAGAATTCCAGTTGATGTCTTTGTTGTGTTTGGTTAATGTCAGGTTGCTATTGAGTTGATATTTAGTCATTGCATGGGTTCTAGTTTCCATTCTACATCTGACCAATGGCTGACATCGAACCCACAATGATTAAGTTGTAAGGAAATTAATTGCCATCTCTGAGAAGCAGCATCTATGCTTTAAATACCCAGAATGGAAAAATTAACTATCTTATTTGTTTTGCTGTTTTTTTGTGGTTCGTAGACGAGGATTTCCAAATCCCTTTGTTTGTAGCTTTCTGCAGTCTTTCTCTATTTACATTTTCCCACATTGTATCTGCCAAGTGTTTTTTTGCTCACTTGCTTAATGTGTCTGTATCCCTGTGATGGTGAGTGTATAGCTAGCTGATAAATGTTACTTGTTTAACACATAGATAGCTGAAATATTTCTGCTCATATCTGTAATGTGTGTACATATAGGTAATTTCAGATGATTGTTTTCTATAAGGGTGACATGCTGGGACAATAGATGTGTTGATGTTTGTATAACAGTGTATAGTATTTGGTCTACATGCTGTTGAGATGTGCACACACCCAACCCATAATTGTTATAGATTTGGTTAACAGTTCGCACGCAGATACTTGAGGAATTCTAATATGAGCAGGGTTCATTTGTGTGTTTTGATGCTGACTGGTGCAGTCAAGTTTCTCATCTGATATGTGAATTCAAAATAGTCGCTTGGTAGGACAGAATGTGAATATTGACGCAAAAAAGCGCAACTTGTCAAAATTGGTCACCTTGAAGTCATCAGGACAATCCACAAGAAGTATCAGAAGGTTTTTTTACCGTATAGAGGAGAGTTCAGATTGGTTGACTCTGCTAGGTAGTGGTGTTGCTGTGAAGAATGCACCAACTAATGAGAAACACCTAAACACAGGCAGTATCCTACCCCTTGCCTTTTTCCAGTGTGTAGATGATATAATTGAATTTGCAACTGCAATTAAGAGTGTTTGAATACACCAGTTCTGAGGAAGCATCACCAGACCCAAAACGTTAGCTCTGATTTTTTTCTTCACAGATGCTGCCAGACCTGCTGAGCTTTTCCAGCAACTTCTGTTTTTGTGGGGGATAATGGCTATCCTGATCAGATCAGTTCTTGTTATGTATCATACAAACTCATGAACAGGCATAAGACTGTCAGTTTTGGTCCTAAAATGTGCCCAGTATACCTCAGATAACATGCATGATAAAAAAAATTAAAAAGACTCAACAGTTAACTGTTGAACATCATAAACTGGTGCATTCTCCATTGCAATATCACTCCCACTTGAGGCATTCATCTCTCATGCGGTGTATATGTTGTCTTCTCTTTATATTGGTATTCTTGAAACTGTCCTGATGATTGGAAGATGAAAAGCTTTGACAAAATATTTCTTTTCTCAGTAATACTCAAGTCTTCCTAAATTTTAGCTTGTGTCTTGTCAAGATTTTGCTGGCGTCATTCAGGTACAAGTCTGGGTTAAATAGGGCACATGTCTGGACTGTCTTGCACATTTCTGATAGAGTTAACCTGGGAAACAAAATATTTCCCCAAATATTATTTTCTTTTAAGTAACAGAGCAGAAGCTAAGGTGTTACCAGATTAGCATAAGTTTTCTAGTCTTGCTGTTGGTGAGAACTGGATAGGCTTTCTATTTCGTTCACACACAAGCATTACCAATGCACTGACTGAAAGGTTGGTGGAATGAGATTCAATTGTAACTTTCAAAATGTCAGTGGATAACGGGCCTTGATGAGGCCATATCTAGCGTATCATAGAATCTTTACAGTGTGGAAGCAGGCCAATTCAGCCCATCGCGTCCATACTGACCTTCCCAAGAGCTTCCCATCCACAGCCATCCCCCCTAACCCTATAATCCTGCATTTCCTATGGCTAACCTACCTAGCCTGCACATCCCTGGGCCTGGACACTATGGGCAATTTAACATGGCCAATCCACCCTAACCTGCACATCTGTGTGCACTGTGGGAGAAATCTGGAACACCTGGAGGAAACCCACACAGACACAGGGAGAATGTGCACACTCCACACAGACAGGCGCCTAGGTCTGGAATCGAATTAGGTCCCTGGCACTGTGAGGCAGCAGTGCAAATCATTGAGCCACAGTGCTGCCCAAACCTTGTACCTTTTGCTGCTTTATTTCTGAAAGGACATGATTGCATTCAAAGCAGTGCAGAGAAAATTCACTTGACTGATTGTGGGAATGAAGGGTTACGAGAAAACGTCGGACTGTGGGCCTATAATGATTGGATTTTAGTGGAATCAGAGGTGATTTTATTGAAATCGATAAGATCCTAAGAAGATACGACAGGGATGTTTCCCTTGTGTGATTGACTAGAAGTGGGGACTCAGTTTAAAAACAAAGGATCTCCCATTTAAGACAGTGATGAGGAGAATTTTTTCTTTCAGAGTCATTAGTCTGTGGAACTCTCTTTCCCAGAGGCTGAGATGGATAGATTGCTGCTCAGTAGGGGAAATCAAGGTCTATGGGGAAAGTGCAGGAAATTGGACGTGAGGAGTGTCCACTTTTTGGATGGTGGAACAGGCTTGAAGGGCCGAATGGCCTACTCCTGTTCCTTTATCTTACAGTCTTATAGACAGAGAACAGTGGATGCTGACTGATTGAATAAAGGCTGAGTTAGATTGGTTCTTAATTGACAGGGGAGCTGAAGCATTTTGGGGTGTAGAAAGGAGAGGCCAATCAGGTCAGCCAGAATTTTATTAATTAGCAGAGAGGGACCAAATGGCCTACATTTGCTCCTACTTGGTAAGTTCCTCTGTAAATAGATGGAGAACAAACATAGGCAGAGTTATGGGAAAAGAAGAAGGAAGTGGCATGAACCAGCTATCTCTTTAAAAGAGATAGGCAGGTTTGACTGAATGACCTCCTTCCGTACAATATGATTCTGTGAAAACTGGGATTAATTTTCTTCAAACTTGCGAGTTGTGCAATGCGAGCCTCTGAACTCTGAGACTGGCTGCGTAGAATAAAGGGTTAATATTAAATATGTAATTAGTGGCCAAGTCAGTGATGGTACATGATAGAAGAGACTCTGAGGAGAGTTGATAGAATGCTTTGATTCCAGGAAACTCTGTCAAGCCATGTAGACTGCCTGACCTCCTCCACGGTTTCAGAGGGTGGAATTTCCCTCTTTTCTAGGGCTAGAGTAACCTTCCCAACGTAGAGATAGCACTGTAGCTGCAAGCATTTCTCAATTCATGCTAAAACAAAGGCCTCCCTGCCCTAAGCCCTCAGTTGCCCAGCCACTATTTTCCAGGGAGCCAGCGCCCAGCAAATGAAACAAGAAATGAAAACAGAAATTGCTGGAAAAAGTCAGCAGGTCTGGCAGCATTTGTAGAGAGAAAGCAGAGTTAACGTTTTGGGTCTAGTGATCCTCTGTTCTGAGGAAGGGTCACTGGCCCGAAACGTTAACTCTGATTTCTCACCACACATGCTGCTAGACCTGCTGAGTATTTTCAGCAATTTCTATTTTTGTTTCTGATTTCCAGTATCTGCAGCTCTTTCATTTTTATTTTTGTTAAATGAAACAAGAAGCTCTGTCATGATTGTGTGATAGACAGCCTCATTACATGGTCACAGGAGTGAAAATCTGTTGAAAGTCTTTCAGTTTAATTCAGCAATCAAATTTTTGTAATGATTTAGTGAGGAGAAAGCAGGCGATATTGTAAATCCTCTTGCGGATTTCCTATCCAACTTTAATTGGATTGTTGGCCATTGGTGTTATACATATCAATAGTGAAATGAAAACAATTCTCAATGCCTCTGTTCCAACATTCTGTGATCTTCTGGTTGTTTTATGATCTGCTTGATTTGATTTATTATTGCCACATGTACCAAGATACAGTGAAAAGTTTTGTTTTACATCCTATCCAGGCAAATCGTACCTGACCTAAGTAAGCTTGAGGGAACTTTAAAAAGTTTTTAATCTCTCTGTATCTACCTCTCACTGTCACTCTCTCTCTCGTTCCCACTTAGTCGTTCTCTTCCTTTGCTCTCCTCAATCTTATTTTCTCATTTTCTCTCTGTCTCGGGCTGGAAATATATTGACCCAAGGGCTTTGGCTCTTCCAGAGATTGAAATTCCTAAAATGCCCTTCAAAGGACCCTGAGCAGAATGAGAATTAGGTGAAAGTTCGTGCAGCTGCTGGTTTTGTTTACACAAGAAACATCTGTGATGCTCAGTACCATTTTCTCTCTCTCTCCTTCCCCCTACAGTAAGTGTGGTACCTTACCTCCCGAGAGCTGCCTCTTCAGTCTGATCTGTAGCGTCGGGTCCTTCATGGGTAAGTCTCGCCCCTAGGCACAGCTGGAGCTGGGTGAGTGACCGTATCGCTTGCTCAACACTTTTCATGGTATGAAAGCAATGTCATGTTATCTTTTTGTTTTGGTGGTGATGTTCCATGAGCTGTAGCCGTGTTGGCTGGAGCTTGGCTGTTTCTGTACACATGTTCCTCCTCCATATCAGGCCATCAGCAGGATGTCTACCAAGGATTTACAGTAAACAGATAAGACCATCTTTTTCCCAATCGTTTTCCCACAGCCCAGAACATGAGTAAACAGGGAACTGAAACACAGGCTGGGATTTTGGCCCACTTAAAATCCGCCCCCTAACAGAGTTAATATCAGGTGCACTGTGCCCAGGGGATGGTTGAGTCATAGAGATTTACAGCATGGACAGAGACCATTTAGCCTATCGCGTTTGCACTGGTGAGCCAGCCTCATCCTACTTGCTCTGTATCACATCAAGCACATTTCCAGGTCATTTTTAAGTATTATGAGAGCCTCTGAACCCTTTTAGGCAATGAGATCCAGATTCCCACTGCCCATCTGGCTGAAAGGAATTTCCCTCAAACTGTCTCTGAACTCCTCTCTCTCACCCTAAATCCAAGCAACTGCTAATGGACCTTTCAACCAAGGCTGTGAATTGGCAATGTATGTCAGTAGAAATAAGAGAAGATTAGGGGAAAACATAACACATGTATCAGATATTTATAGTTAAATCTGTGTATAACAAAGGTCAGAGCAAGTGATATGACCAGTGGGATAAATTTTTTGTTATTCATTCATGGGATGAGGGCATCGTTGGCTAGGCAGCATTTATTGCCCATCCCTAATTGCCCAGAGGGCAGTTAAGAATCAACCACATTGCTGTGGGTCTGGAGTCACATGTAGGCTAGACCAAATAAGGACAACAAATTTCCATCCCTAAAGTTAGTGCGCCACATGGGATTCATGGTCATCATTAGATCCTTATTTCCATTTCTGCTGTGGTGGGATTTGAACCGAGGTTCACAGAACATTATTTGGATCACCAGGTTGGCAACCTAGCGATAATACTGTTAGGCCATCGTCTCCCCTGAAGTTGCACTGAACCAGAATATACAACAGTAAAGATTAGGAGGGGTGCATGAATTTTGTTTTAAGTTGCTGGTGGCAACCTTCGAGAGCAAGTTTCTTTTCCTGCTACATTACGGTATCAGTGTTGGATAAACAGGCTGTGAGAGATCTCACAGATCTGTGAGAGATCATTGCATCCTGACTGGGCTGTGGTATGTCAATTATCTTCATCAGATTTTAGGTGGAGAACTGCTTGTGCACTGCACTGGTGCAGCAGCAAAACACAAACAACATTTATGTTGCAGTTTTGCATTGTGTAGAATTTGAGCTGATCAGACACACAGTACAATTAAAACATGCAAAAAGCACAGTTGACTGGAGAGTGGAAGTCCTTCAAGCCAGTTTGGAATCGTTTCACTTTGAAAATTGACCACACCTTGACACAGAATCACCACTACTGTGGAGGAATTATTTCACTTTTGGCTTCAAGGAAAGCCCAAAGCAAAGCTTGCAAAATGTATTGCTTCTGTATGAACGTTTTATCCATCCATGGGATGTGGGCACCATTGGCAAGACCAGCGTTAATTGCTTTTTCCTAATTACTCTGAAGATATTGGTGGTGAACCATCTTCTTTCATTGGCTGACTGACTGGTAGAGTTTACAAGTTGACCACATTGCTGTTGGTCTGGAGTCACTTGTAGGCCACACCAGGTAAGGATGGCAGATTTCCTTCTCTAAAAGGCATCAATGAACCAGATAGGTTTTTATGACAATTGGGACAAGTTTCACAGCTTTCATTCTGAGACTTTTTTTTATATTCTAGATTTTAATTGAATTTATTTTTGAATTCCTCATCTGCTCCAGTGGGATTTGAACTTGTGCCTCTGGATCATTAGTTGGGTAAAAGAAGCACTGTGTTGTGGTGCCCATTGCCCACATATCACCATAGTTCCTGAAACTGGACTCCGATCTGACCAAAAGAGTTTCACTTTGTTGGCTATAACTGATTATTTATTGGGAGAACCAAAGGCATTGCCACTGGTGCCTGCCACAGATTTCTGTTCCCCAGCCATTGATTCCATCCCCTCTGTCGGTCCCTGTCTCAATCTGAACAAGTTTCTGCACAACCCCAGTGTCATAGAGTCATTGAGTTGTACAGCATGGAAACAGGCCCTTTGGTCCGACTCCTCCATGCTGACCAGATATCCAAAATTGATCTAGTCCCATTTGCCATCATTTGGCCCACATCCTCAAATCCCCACCTCACTGCCACTCAAAAACCCATCCAGATGCACACCCCCCCCACATGCTGCAACTGCACCAGCCTCCACCACCCACTCTGGCAGTCCACCCTACACAAGCACCACCTCTTGCATTAAAAAGCTGTCCCTTAAGGCCCCTCCAAACCCCTCTCCTCCCACCCCAAACCCACACCCTCTAGCCCCGGACTCCCCCACCTTGAGGAAAAGACCACGGCCACTCACCCCATCCATGCTCCCCACATGCCCCCCAAGACCTCCACAAGGTCACCCTGCAGCCTCCAATGCTCCAGGGAAACCAGCCCCAGACAACTCAGCAACCCAGATCCCCAAACATCCCCCCGACAACCCCCCCCCCCCCCCCCCCTCCCCCCGCCATCCCAAAACACAGCCCAAACCCTCCAGCCCAGGCAATATACCTGCAAATCCCCTGTGAACCGCCTCAAGTTCCACAACACCCCTCCCACAGCAGGGAGACCAGAACTGAACACAGCACTTATTTGATCCCTGCCTGTCCCTCCAAACACACATCCCTTCCATCTCTAAGACCACTTCCATGGTATCACCTGGTTCTGTCCCTGTCTCTGCAGCCTTCATTTTTGTTAACATTAGGCTTCACTATTCCGCCATCCTTCTCGCCAGCCTCCTGCTGTGCAGTAAACCCAGGCTCATCACCTGCGGCAAGTTAACTCTTGGCCTGTTACCCAATTGCCTGTCGACTGTCTAAAAGGCTAAAGCCAGGACTGTGATGGAATATTCTCCACTTAATGAGTGCAATTCCAACAACACTTAAGAGGCTCAACACCATCCAGGACAAGGATGCCCATTTGATTGGCACTTGATGCACCACCTTCGCTACTCTCTTCCTGCATCACTGGCACTCAGTGGCAGCAGTGTGTCCCATGACAAGGTACACTGCAACAGTAAACTAAAGTTTCTTTGACATCACCTTCCAAACCCATAACTTCTATCACCTGGAAGGACAAGGGCAGTAGATACATGGGAACAACATCACTTACAAGTTCCTCTCCCAGGCACATCCCATCCTGACTTGGAAATATCAGGGTGACACGGTGGCTCAGTGGTTAGCACTGCTGCCCCACAGTGCCAGGGACCTGGGTTCGATTCCACCCTCAGGCGACTGTCTGTGTGGAGTTTGCACATTCTGCCCGTGTCTGCATGTGTTTGCTCTGGTTTCCTCCCACAGTCCAAAGATGTGCAGGTTAGGTGGATTGACCAGGCTAAATTGCCTGTAGCGTTCAGGGTTGTGTAGATTAGATGGGTTAAAAGGGGGATGGGTTTGGGTAGGTGCTCTGAGGGTCGGTGTGGACTTGCTGGGCTAAAGGGCCTGCTTCCACACTGTAGGGATTCTATGACATATTGCCGTTGCTTAAGTGTCACTGGGTCAAAATCTTGGAAATCCCTCCATCAGGGCATTGTGAGTCAGCCTGCAGCAGTTCAAGAAGGCAGCTTGTCACCACCTTCTCAAGGGCAACTAGGGACAGCAATAAATACTGGCCCAGCCAGCAACACCCACACCATTGAATAGAATCATAGAATCCCTACAGTATGGAAGCAGGCTGTTCGGCCCATTGAGTCCATACCGACCCTCTGAAGAGCACCCCCTCCCTGTAATCCTGCGTTTACCATAGCTGATACACCCAACCGGCACATCTTTGGACTGTGGGAGGAAATGGGAGTACCCAGAGGAAACCCACACAGACAATCGCCCAAATCTGGAATCAAAACCAGGTCCCGGGCACTGTGAGGCAGCAGTACTAACCACTGAGCCATCGTGCTGTCCTCTAAAAGGAAATTCTGAAAATCCAAAACTCTGCTGTGCAGATCATAACTTGTGCCCATTCCTATTCATGCATAAAGCTCTGTCTAAACTATGCAGCTATGTGAGCTTACAGCAACCTGGAGCTTTCATGCAGCCTACACTCATATAAGGAAGGAATTAAACAAAATGTCACATGAGGTAAATTTTTCATTATGAAGCGTTTGCCTTGAGAAATGTAATATTAGCAATTGGCACTGGGTCTGTGCATGTGGAAACTTGTCCACCTTTCCTGGTAAGTTCTGTGGCCTTTGATGTTAAAAGCTGGAATGTTACTGAGGCTGAGAATGAGGGAGACTAGATTTATTAAACAGAGTTGTGGTTCTCTTGTGGCTGGAGTTCAAAATACTCAGGGCACTTGACTGAGTGTGGCATTAACGTACTCTATTAAAATCAAAGTCAATGGGAATCAGGGGGCTCTTCCATTATTTGGGGTCAGTCCTAGCACAACCAGTACCTCACCCCAGGACATTGCCACTGGAGTTCCTCAGTGTCCAAGGCCAAACCACCTTCGGCTGCTTCAATGGTGACTTTTCCTCCACCATAAAGTGGATTGGCCAAGCTAAATTGACTGGTAGTCTCCAGGGATGTGTAGGCTAGATGGGTTAGCCGTGGTAAATACAGGGTTAAGGTGGGGTAGTGGGTCTAGTTGGGATACTCTTTGGAGGATCCGTGCAGACTTAATGGGCCAAACAGCCTCTATCTGCACTGTAGGGATTCTATGATTACAGTGTGTTCAAACCCATGCATGGCCTCTCAGATAATAGTGTATAACAAGCCCTTCCAGTGTAGGCTTGCCACATTTCAAAATGCTGAGTGTTTGCAACAAAAAGGAAGAAAGAAAGA